GGGAGGTACTCAGCCAGTCCTGCAGCCACAGACTCCAGCACAGACAGGGTTTAAACCCAGGTCAACTCTTTTTCAAAAATCAATAGGTAGAATAAGGCTTGAAGGTTCCTAGATCTGTTTGGGAGCCTATAAAAGGCTGCAGTCAGGGGGTAAATATTTGTATGTTCCTATATGTAAAAGTCTGCCAGTGTGAAGAGTTTTCCCAGTGTCTGTTGTGACCTAGTGAAATCTGGCATCTGACAGTGCCTGAGCCAGCACCATTTTTAACTTTACACGTATTTGGCAATTTTATTCATGTGTTTAAAGCTAAGCATGAACCTGTTTCTTTAAAGCCACTTAGATGCATAAAGATTAATACAAATTAATGTAATGTGATGAATGTAAAACATGATAGCTTGAGATGTGGAACAAAGATGACATCCAGGCAGACTTCCCCTCTTGTCCCATCGCTGCACTCCAGTTTTGTTAGTTTTTTAACTCCAAAATGGGGAGAGCTGCTCACACTTGCAGGCACAGAGAGTAAACAGGGAGCTCAGTGATGCTCTGACGTGTTCTGCCCAAGCTCAAAAGAGCTCTGCTTCACTTACAGCCAATTTTATTTCTTAAGAAAATCCATTTTTTTCCCTCTTTCTGCTCTTATCCCCTTCAGTCTCCACCCTTCCCTAAACCCCCTGTGTTTAGGAAAGCTTGCCTGAGGAGTCTTAAAAATTCACCTAGTTTCTCCTTTACCTGTTCACCTCTTATAACACTACCTGCAGCTGCCTACAGCAGTCACGGAGCTCTGGCCAAAGCTGATTTTCATCCAGCTCTCTCCAGGACTGATATCAGAGGAGTGGCAGGAGCAGGGGCTGCCCAAGACTGCTCAGAGTCCCAGTCACACAGCAAGGGCACCCGGTGTCCTCCCCACTGAGCTGCTGTCAGCACCTCAGGTAGCTCAGGTATGTTCCCACTGGCTTTAGCAGCATTTCTGACCACCGAGCACATACCACCTGACTGCTTTACAAGCTTTGAAAGATACAGAAACACTTGTCATATTAGTCTTCATCAAATAATTTAATTAATACATTTTTGGATGTTTTTTTTCCTCTGCAAGATATTCCTTCCAGCCTGTAACCTCTCCCCAGCATACCTCAAAGGAATGAGTTATACTCAGCAGCATAACCACCTGTATCTATAAGAATCCCATTGTTTTGGTCAGGTTCTGGTGGAAATTACTGATTGTCTCTCCCCAGCATATCTCAAAGGAATGAGTTATACTCAGCATAACTACCTGTATTTATAAGAATCCCATTGTTTTTGTCAGGTTCTGGTGGAAATTACTGATTGAAAAGTTTCTTGTGACAAAATGTAAGAGACTGGTAGAGACTGCTGCTGCAGAAGAAAAGCCTGGTGCTCAAATTGTGATGCTTAAATACCTTTGGCTCTCAAACTCTTTATAACAAATAAATAAACTGTATTTTACTAACAGGGAATGAATTTATCATTTACCACACACTTCATTTTCAGTGCTAGTTTACAGCAAACTTGTCACACAAATGCCTTTGATTTTTGGACCAGGTCTGTGTGCAACGCTGTGGAATATCACCAGGTGGAGCTATGCAGAGAAGCTCATTTTACATTAATTGCAGACAGTAGAGTCCAGTTTCTTGGATAACACCTATTCCTCCCATTTAAAAGAGATAATTAATACCCATACAGGAAAGTTTTTCCTCACCCCACTCACCAACAAGAAGTTCTATACAGTCACAAGGAAATGTAAACCAAATTATTCAAAAGAAAACATTACATAATCTTTAAAATCTGAGCTATCTAAACTGTTTTCAACTCTTTCCTGTGCTCAATGGAATATTAGAGGTTTTTACAAGGTAACTGTTAATGTGATCAGAGTAGTCACCTTGAAGCTGGTAGGCCAGGGCATGTGAAAACTGACATGCAAACCCCAGAATATAGAAACTTAGACTGATTCCCAGACTGATTAGTTAATTAGTGGTGTCTTAAGACAAGCAGATCCCACCAGTGAACCAAAAGATATCTATTAAAGTTCTTCTAATATCAGAGCTATGTTTTTTTAATATCAGAGCTATATTTTTTTTTGTACTTGAAACAGATAAGCTGCAAACCTAAAAAGGCATCAGGGTTTTCTTTCTAACATTGCTACTTCTCCAAGCTGAAGACAATGACTGCAGAATCAAACATCAAATTTCAATCCCTAGCACTTTATTTGTAAGTATTTTTTCATGTTCTCATTTTACAGCCCTCTCAGGCCATGTCTATAGTGTGAAGTAAAAAATGGCCTGGCCATGGATGTGAATACTAGCCCAAGACTGTCCACATCCCTCAGCCATTAGCTCATTCCCTGGCTCTGGTCTGAGCTGCTCATACAGACTCCTGCCAAAACAAACCTGCTCCTAGATGTGTTAGGCCTAAGGATTGTATCTGGAGCCAGTCAGTGCCATGGGGTCAGGGGTTAGTCTCTGGCCCCTTTTCATTTAGCAGTACAGATGCAGGCTGAAGGCAATGGACCTAGTGCTGATACCATCAGAAGTAAGGTGAAAAGCTCTTATCATCTGGACTGATCTTCCATGTGAAAATAAATCTTGCTCTTCTGAGTTGATTTTATGAGATGTAGTTAAGAATTAGCAAAATGAAATAAACTTTTTTTTTTTTTGTATTCACCTCTAGTTCCAGGACATTGATGTGGATTGAGCTCTACATGTCTTCCAGAAGCTCCTTGTCTAACCACTTGAAAAATATCCCACACTTCATCTCTAAACTGCCCACATGATTTTTTGACAGATAAGCTGTTATTCTACTGCTGTCTTCAGTGGAACGTGTTGTCTATTTTAAAAAGTTTGGAAAATAAGTCCAAAATACCACACTTTGGTGGAAAAATGCATGACTCTGTTTAGAAAATCGTGATTAAACCCAAAGATTTTCACTCCTCTCCCTACACAGGACCAAAATTAAAGGAGCTAAAAGCAAACGTGCCATATCAGTGTATTGCTCATGCACACACAAGAATCTAATGGGCAATTGCTAAATTCACAATTCCATTAAGATCCTTCAAAGTATTTATATATGACAAGTGTCTTACAAAACCAGGATAAAACTTACTGAAATTATTTCTCTACCTTTACAAGTCTTCTTTCAACTGTCACTGTGCAACTGACCAAACCAAAATACTGTCCTACAGCAGATAACCCTCCATAGTGCAATTCAGCTCAAGAAAGTCTTCAGATATGGTTGGGCAAGGAAGACAAACTGTTGTAGGTGCAAGAATGACAATGCTAGAAACCTCCAGAGGCACCCTAAAGCTTCAGACTCAGCAGGCTTAGCTCCCAGACTTCTCTACAAAGTCAGTGGCAAAACAGATTTCTTCCATGCTAAGCATGATATTCACTGAATTTCATGCCTTGAGACTAGTTTTTAAATCACCTCCTTTCATTTTGAGACAAGTGATATCTATCAGCCTCTGTGTCTGCATCCTGACCAAGATCCTGCTGCAGAATTCTGGTATCTGCTGTTCTTTGGGAAAGAATAGGAGATTACATGAAAGAATTTATCATTTCTCAAGGGCAGGAACTGCCTCCCTGTCTCAGTTCTGTGTACTGTGTTTAGATCAACAAAGCCAAACTCCCCTAGTTCAACAACTCAAGTAATCCCACTAGCTATGGGATTATATGTAGTATTCTAAAATACTACAGCATATTCTAACACTTTGTGCAAAAATTGCGTTTATCCTTCTTGCCAGAAAGGTCACAATTTCACACATTAAGATGGACAACAATTCACAACAGGATAATGAAATTCAACAGATTTGACTCTCTTGAAACAGGTTATGGCTGTCAGAAGTTCAGAATATTCAGAACTAAGATATTTATCTTTCTTTAAATAATAAGCATCAGAATTAAAAACCATTTTGTACATCCTACCCCTCCCTGATGTTCCAGGTGCTCTTACTGGGCTTCCACCAAAATGCAATGTCTGCACTTTTCTAAAGCTACACAAATTTGGCATACACTTGCCTGTAAAAAATTTAGCTGAAAAGCAGACAATGAGATGTCAAAAATGCTTTAATCACTTGTAATATACAAGCTGCATGAATTATTAGTTATTATTGTTCTTGGTCTTTGTCCTTACAAAATTCTGATTCTAGAAGGAAAAAAACTACATGAAACTCAGCTCTTAAGCCTACAAGATTTAGATGTATAAATAATAATCTCAAATAATCCTCTTCTTAAACTAAATATATAAACAAAGCCTTGGAGACTGAGGACTTGCACAACCAACAACTTGGGAGTCTTGTGCTCCCATTTATTTCTGGAGGAATCCCATCCCCAGAGAAAAGTTGTGATCACACCACATGCTCTTCCTGCAAAACACACCCATGGGCTTTAGTAATAATTTCTCTGGGAATGTTTGAGGACATTTCCTGCTCTATGCTGCTTTTGAAGAGAGTCACAGAACATGAAGACTCTGAATGCATCTCTTGTTGGAGAATCCTGGAATAAGCAATGCAGATAGGAGAGAGCAGTAAAATTAAACAGCAAACTCCTCAATGATTTTCAGAACTTGTTGGTTCCCTGATTTCTTCTTCAGTTTTAGAAGAAGGAAAAACCACATCACCTAACAGTGAAATAAATAGGGAACAGCACCTTTTGCTCTCACAGGCAGGTTCTTCCCACAGATGAAAGTTCAGGACATTATGTATCATGACACAAAGTATCCTTGTAACTCTTTGGGCCACAATGAACCAGTGCAGTTTGATGAGAAATTATAATCTTGCTGTTACACACAAAAAAATTCTACACAATAGCTAATATTATAGCAGAGATCAGCAGATAAAGGGTTGGGATTTTTCTTCTAACAGTCTTCTTTTTAACAGTAGCCTGATAATCTAAAATTTAAAAGGAAAAATGTAGCAAAATATTTGAAGTGTTCTGAACAATCTTTTCCAGTTTAAAAGTAGACAATTATAAGTCACCTGAAAAATCACTGACCTTTTCTAATTTTTCAAAGTGTTCTCTGAGGAACTTCATGGGTCGGTCTGGCTTTGCTATGCAAAGGTTGACAATGCACTCTTTTAAAATCTGCTGGATGTTGTGCTTCTGAACGTAGAGTTCACATCCCTTCAGGCTCTCGTCTTCTTCCACATTGCAGGAAGAAGCAGCAGCAGCCATCTTCAGGCTTGTAAACAGAAAACAGACTTAGGTAAGAAAATGGTGCAAGACAGAGATAAGACACAGTTCCCAAATCCTTTGTCAGTGTGATGTGAACAAGCAAAAGACATTTTAATATTGCCTGTTGCCTGTTCAAGAGCTGTCATTTCTGAACGTTTTAATGTTCTGGAGTTGCACATGGAAATGCTGAAGTGTGTCATCTTTGTATGATCAACATAGCAGTAAGAACAAAAAGAGCATTTTAACTCCCAGACGGTGGCCAACCTTTGGAAATAACAGTGCAATTAATCATACAAAGCCATGAATTTCAATGTCAGCTATTAAATGACAGCATTCTCGCTTCTCTATTCCCTCGGGGACTCACTCCCTCCCCGTCACCACAAACCCAGTTCTCCGCAACAGAAGGATTTTTGGTAAATTTTGTCACCTGCCCCTTTCACAGCGACCGACCCTTCCCGGTGCGGGGGGAGATGGGGAGGAGGGGGCAGAGCCAAAGGGCAGTTCGGTAAGCGGGGGGTAAACGACCCCGAACGCCTCTTCACCCCCCGCAGCGAGCATCGGACCGCTCCGCTTGAACCGCAAACCGCGGGGGCGGCTTTAACACCCGGGCCGGCGGCAG